TCAATATTTATCATAAATATCTATAACAAGTATTTATGCTTGTTTAAGAAAAGTGTAGAATAATTCGTCCGAGGCTATACAAAAGAATATTTTGGTATTACAAAATAAAGAAAAAATAGACTGTCTTGGAATTGTTTTAATATTTTTCATAAGACTTACTCTACTTGACCAAATGAAGCAATTTGTAAACTATTCGTCAAAAATATTACCTTATGCAAAAAAATCAACTCTATATAAAATTAAAGATCAAAGAGCAAACTCTAGTCACAAACTAGTCTCAATTTGTTAATATGAAATTGACACCAAGCTCGCTGTGTGAAATGTAACTGTGAAATTTATAAAGATTACTTTTTAAAACTGTCATGACGAAATTTTCACCGTATGATCTTTTAGCTTAATTTGAGAGGTACTTAAAATTTCTCAAGAAATCCTGATGATATTATAAATATCATGTTCAGTCAATGACAATTATCTTTCAGATTTCTCCAAGAAATTCGATCATGAAATATTCGAGAATTAATAGTAAGCTAATAAGCTTCTTAAGCAACCGAAACCCTTTATGTCAATTGATTTCCTACGGTTCAGTGAACATGCTGCAATTTTCAAAAATAAAAATATTAAAGACCTACTCGTGAATAAATAATAATAATTTATATTCATTGATCATTTTTATGTTATGAAGAATTTCTTAATAATAAAATTAGCATAGCACATAATGTAGGGTTCGCTCAATGACCATAATAACGTGATTATTTACCTTAAATATTTCGAAAACCAAAAAAATTCCATCACGAACTCGAGCGGAGGAATAAGAATTCAACAGAGAAAATCGTGTATTGATAATGGCAAAATGTCAAATCAATGGGCAATAAAAAAAAGCTGCCTATGAATTTTTCTTGGGAAACGCTGAGAAAATATGGGGAATGGCACTCAAGAGTTTGTGTGCTTAGTTCTTGTATTGCTTTATTTTTTGAACTCCATAGGCTTAGTCAAATTTTATAGCCTCAAAAACCGGCCCCTAGTAGTGTACCATAAGTGTACCTGAAAGTAAGTAAGGTTTTGGTTCCATCTCCAGTTTCCATCCCTTGCAAACACCAAAAAGCCAAAGTTCACCATTACTGTTCACTCGTGTCTATTGTAAAAGCAACTACTGATGTAGTTCACTTTTTTCTAATGAATCCAAGCCAGCTCTATATAAAGTGCATAAAGTAATTCCAAAATAGTGATCATAAGTCGAGTAGAAGGCGGTACTATTAGAAGCAATTGCGACACTTGGCATAAATGGATTTTAATATGAAATGAGTGAGTGGAAATAGTTGCAGTCACTCATAAGACTGATCATTGACCAAGAAAGTAAGTTAGTAAGTAAAATAGTTTAATGTACGCGGTGCGTATTGAGAATTAAAATGTGAATTTAATGAGCACAATTTTTATTTACTTATAAACAAATTGAATAAAATTGCGTTGATATAATTGCTTGTATTATGGCACCTATAATTTTCCATTTATTGCAACCGCCTCAATTTGCATATATACTTACATGTTGCTTGATGCATGTTTAATTGTTTTTCATGCTCGATTGAAATGAAATAAATATCATTTTTTTTTCCTTTTGCTCTCTACACAGCCAGCATATGTATGCTTTTAAATTGAATTTAGATCGAAATCTCGAATGTGTACATAGATAGTTAAAATACTGCATACTCTATGCTCCATAAGTAAAGTTTTTTGTAAAGAAATATTGCGTAAAATATTTTCATACCTTTGACTTTTAATTAAATGATATTTCTCTTCTCTGATATGAGATTTATTAAATGGTTATGTCCACAGTCAGGACATCTACATTAATTGATTGTGGATTTTTAAAACGTTCAAATTCATTCCAAATTCATTTAAATTGCCGTTAAATTTTGAATTTTTCAAAAACTGAGGGTTTAAATTTGGAAAAATTGTTAGAGAACTTTTTTGATTTTCAAAATATTTATTAAGATTTCCAGAGCCTGAATCAAATTTACGATAATTTCATGTCTCAATTCAAAAGGAAATATTTATTTATTTACTTTTTGTTATGTTATCAGAAAGTACTTAATCAATTATTTATTTATGTATATTCAACTCATTATCCATCTACTATTCGTACTTTTTTTTCAAGTCTATAAATATGTGTATTTGCCAAACTCTAATAAATTGCTTTTTAAAAGAGAAGAAAAAAATTTGCATAATGATTTTATAAACAACTGAGAGATTATCTCGTCTGGCTCTTTTTACTGCTTATAAATTTTTTTTAAGTTCATTGTCAATTCATACGCTAAAGTTTATCATTATAATCTCCTCATTTATTGATTCTTTTATTAAATGAAAAGATATTGCAGAAAATTACAATGAATACATTTATTTAATGAGCCGTTTGGAAGGTATTTAGTACAATAATAAAAATAATAATGTGAGTTGGTGATTGTTCAGAATGAAGGGATCAATTAAGGCGCATTTTATCAATATTACTTGAATTGACTTTTTTCTTTTTAATTCCTAGGTTGTAAATAGTAACTAGGTTGTATTCTTATGGGTAATCAAGGTTTTATTTTTAGGATTCTAATGCCAAAGGAGCCTATGTCTGGAAAATATTGTGAAAATTAATAACCCCCAAAAGCATCTTTATCCCCAATAAATCCCACTACCTCAAAAAAATCTATACCATTAGTTTTGAACGCATTGAGTAACTTTTTTCAAATCAAGTTTTTTCTTGGTCATTGAACTCAGCTTCAACTTACGTGAATAAAGCATTTATAGAAGTATGACCAGACTGACAGACATAATTTTACTAAAAAATTCATCATAACAAAAGCATAAAAAACGTTTGTATTGAAGAAATAATAATCCACGTGTTCACTGTTATTATGGTTTTAATAAATAAATGTTTTCATTCTGGTCTCGTTTAAGAATGACAATATACATTGAATAATATGTTTTTGTAATTTTGCATTATCGTATTCGGTTGATTTAATTGTGCGTTAATGTTATGAATTTTAAATCCAGGAATGAGGTGGAGTTTATGTTTTGGGGGTGTAGATTTTTCTCAAAGTACCTTGGCTAATCGAATAAGGTTTACCAAAAAAATTAGGCAACCTCTCTTTTTATCCCTGACTATACTCCTGATCATTATTAAAATAATTCATTTAAAAAAAATTGAAAATAATGCGTTAATGATATTGATTAGGGCTCAGGGTCCTTAAAAGGTAATTCGAATGTTCTTTGACTCATGCTTATTTTAATAAAATTATTATTTTTAACTTTCATGTCCTACTTCTCAAAAAACAATATTTGATTCCGAAAAAACAGCTGCTTTAAGCATCGAATTATCCATACCAAAAAGAAGTAAGTATTTACTCAATTTATTCCACTTAATTAAATCAACATCTCTCTTTTTCTCCTTCATTTTTACGCAATAACTCATACAGTTGCTTATAACATTTCTGCACTTAATTTTTCTCATGCAATACGCAAAAAAAAAAAAACAAGATTTTCTGACCCAGATCATGTAATTTAATTATTAATGCGAGTGACTTATGGCGACAGTTGTTGATGCTGGAAAATTATCTATTCAAGTGAAATGCATAATGTCGCAGTGACTTTTCATGCAAAGAAATTGTGAATTTAAAACAACAAAATAAGGCAAATGACATGGAAAATGTTATGGCAATGGATATATTTGCTAGAAATGTTTTTAATGCCAGTTCAAAGAAATTTTGATTTAAAGACTGAAAAACAAAGCAATTTATGTAGTTTTTAGAACTAAATTATAACTGAGAGTTGAACTTGAAGTTATTGATGAATTTTGGACTGTTTGCAGTCAATATTTAAACATTCTCACTTCAAGTTCATTGTTTAGTTTTGGGTCAGCTTTATCTACTAAAGATAAACATTGATGCCGTATCTACAGCATTAAATTGTTAAATTAAGCAATTGTTTTCCTTGATTAACCAAATCAAAAATTCACTTAAGCTCCAGATAAATGTTCATAATAGTAAATTTAGTCCATCATTTAAACTAGGTCATTTATTTACATGATTTAATGTGAAAAAATTAACAATTCTTCTTAATTTAATTTAATTATTATTATGGTCTTTAAGCATTTATATTCCAATTGTCACAATTTTTATTTTTGTGTAAATGAAGGTCAGTGTCAAATTAATAATAACAATAGAGGCACGAACATACAAAAAAAAAAGAATTTGAAACATGAAAAATTATTAAGATTCCGTAACTGTCCTGAAAAATAATGACTATAATGGAATTTTCATCTGTAAACATTATGCTGTTTAGTTTGTTTATTATCGTCTGCTTCTTCTCGTTTTCTTGTATTCCGCATAGACACTCAAGACAATTGTCAATTAGTATGAATGATAAAATATCAATGTCATGAAGCGTGGGACGTTCCATTCATTATTTTTCACAGTATCTCTATGTACACGAATAATGTTGACTCTTTTAATGATTGAAATTACAAAGAGCTTCGAATTGTTTTTGACTGTTAACAAAAAAAGATTTGTTTGCAATTCTAATAACTGTTTTTTTTTTATAGAATCAGGCAGATAAAGCTAGCTTGTTAAAATTATATTTGGAATGGATGTAAGCGCATTGTAAGGAGATTGCATATTGCTTGTAGGACTCTATCAGAGTGATTAAAATAATTATTTCTAGTTCATCTACAGGTTTTGGTATTCAAAGTGGTCTTTAAAAACTAGTAGCATTTAAAAATTGAAGTTAAACTAAGGAAGATCGCTCTATAAATTCATGTGTTAATATATCTTTCTTTATGGATTAATATAGATTATTAACATAAGTTCTTTCCTAATTTATTCTATCTTGAATGACCCTACCCTACAAGTTGTCAAACATCTGAAGACTATTCATATTATATATTCATATATAATATATATTCATATTCATATATATTCATATATATTCATATTATATTCATCCTTAAATTAGTGAACTTTAGTCCAGGGGGGAGGGGGGGGGGGGGGGGGGGGGTCATCAAAAAAAGAACAATAGTAATTCCTGGAAATCCATTGTTCTTTTTGAAAAATGACTGTTAATTTCGGACGTCAAAAAAGTGATTTTTTTGGCTCACTAGCAGCTTAGTAACGAGTAGTAGCTTATAACGAAAAAACAGAGTAAGATTTTCGTGACAGACAGACAAACAACCAATCAACATCCATCCTCCTAATTTAAGATAATCTACTCAAAGATTTTTTCGCGAGTGACACGCTGGTGTGAACAGAAAATGACAAAAAATTCGAATGCTAATATTATTATGGCATAAATTATAAATTAGCATGTTTTGAGGTTTAATCTTGTTATTTTCTCGCACGGGACACTTATAGAGAATGGTTTAAGAGAACAATAGGATTAACATGTGTCTTTTCAACTACAGAATGCTGGACCTTGAATTATAAAGCAAATATGCTTGATTTGTTATTACGTAGAGTAACAACATTGTTAGATTATATCCCATAATTGGAACTTATTAATGATTTTTTGTTATAGAATATGAAACTTTTTATGTCACTTTTGATATTGGCTTCATCATCATTACAGTTTTTTTGAGAGCATAATCATATCCATTCCATTGAAACCAAACGATTCCGCCTCTTGAAATGCTATCAAGACTTGGGCCGGGACCGTTTAGTCCTCTACCGCAGCTCTTCCACCACCATCCACCCTGTAACAGAAACAATAATCATAAATAAGCAACTTGAAATACACATTTAATGTGCTGTAATGCTGTCAAGTGTTCTCATTACAATTAGTCCTTGACGTAAGCCTCGAAAAATGATTTAAGCCCTAAGCAAATATATGGTTTGCTGTTGGCCCTAAAAATACTTTGTTGCAAGATAATTCTATCGACTATAAATCTGATTATATATTGGTGACAGACAACCAGTAATTAAATGAACGGCAAAAATTAAATTCAGCTTTATAAACAAACCTTGAGCATGCTAGCGCAATTCAATGAACTTCTGTCATTATCTCGATTGTATGTGGAAAATGGGCTGTTATTTGAACCATGCCATGGGTCATTCAATGAGTCGCCGGCATTTCCCTCGTATCCATCAATCTCAAGTTTATAATAATCAGCTTCTGGATTGACTTTGAAGTGCGAATATTGGGCATATCTAGAATTTAATTAATAGACAAGCACAAAATTAATTAAATGTGTCAAAATTCAAGTCAAGGTTAAGCATTATTTAACTTATTTGATCTTATTTAACCAAATTAGTGGAATGTGAATGTGATAATGACCTTTTATTGCCCTCAAAGTCCTCTAGTTCAATGCGTAATACATAATCCTCGTTATTTGTAAGCATATAAATGTTTTCATTTCCCATCCAAAACTCTTTTGCTGGATCTCCAAATCCATTTTTGTAGTCAGCCCAATCGCGATTGAAATTTTCTCGTGGCTCGCCAAAATCATCACGACGTTGAATTACCTGCGAATTATTTTTAATAATCAGTTACTACTTTATCTCTGAAAATTTTGTTCAACATGATTGAAATGACCACAGCTTTTCTTCTTACTTATTGTTGTGTACGGTCGTAAAAATACTAAAATAATTTCGTTTTCTTGCATGTCAATATGTCAAAAATGAATCATGTCAAATAAACTATTTAAAACTATTTAAAGTGAACTAAAAGAAACTTTCATAATTATAAATAAGCAATAATGTTACATGACTACCATTTCGATAATATTCACAAAAGGTACGAGAGAATAAAAATGAAGGAAAGAAAGTCGGAAATGCGACAAATAACTCGACTTCAATAATTGACACCGAAAATTAATGCCCAAAAGCATGCCGCAGCAATGTTACATTTTATGTAGGTTCCCACACACAACAACAAAGTCTATTGTGTCTTTTTATTCCTTACCGTCCATCCACCATCTGCAATTTCTTGTTCACAAAAGACTTTCAAAAACCAATAGGTTGTACCACGGATCTGAAGATAATAGACACCTGATTGTCGCATGCCTGCATTCATCAATTCCGTACATGAAAATCCCTGTAAAACATTTCATTGTTTAAAAAAAAAATATTTCAATTATGTCAATTCAATTTCTCTCGACTAAATCCCACTAATGTGCGTGTTAATTAATCAAATTACTCACTTTAATGTCTTTATAAGCCAGAGTATCAGTTGTGAAGGTTGTATTAATATTCGATGGTTTATTTTTAATGCTAGGAAATACAATTCCGTCTTTACGTGATACGATTTTTTCACTCAATTGAGATTTGAGTTCATCATCTCTAATAGGACTAAGATTCATGAGCAAGGTTGATGAACTATACTTTGCATCATCGACGTTTATTCTTCTTGATGGAGAATCCGCAGTCAAAACTGGTAGTTTTTTAATAGCCATATTCTCATTCTCACTATTGTCTCCACTCAGTCTGTTCCTGACCATCCTCAATATTTCGTTAATCAACATTGAATGATCAAAAACGCGTTCTTTCTTCTGTTGTTGTTGTTGCTGCTGAATGCGATGGTCGTTTTGTTGTGTCAAAACACTGGAATTGTCGTTTTTCTTGTTATTTAAATGTTCTGCGATCGTCATTAATTCTCCGTAGTTTTGCATTAGTAAATTTTTATTTTGTTGTATCTTTCTATTCATTTCATCGATTGCGGTATTAAATCCGTTAAATCTTGTAATCATTTCTTCACTCGCGGCCTCGACAATTGAATTAACATTTCGGCTCTTTGAATCATCTTCACTTGTTTTATGGTTGTTATTGAGTAATTTATCACCAATCATTTCTACAAATCCATTCAGTTTTGCCTTAATATTGTCCATTTGTTGTTCAATTAATTCAATTTTGCTCTCAATGCTTTCCGTTTCTGGTCGCGGCATTCTGTTCGATGATGTCAAAATGTTTTCTTTAAACATCTTGTCGTGTAAGAGATTAACTTTATCATCCAATTTTGACATACGCTCCATCATGTTATATTCAATAGTTTTGAACGACTGATCAAGTTTAAGGCCAAGAGATTGTATTGCCTCCGATATTATCTCACAATCGCTTTATTTATGTTTCGTTTTTTTTAATATAAAAAAATTATCGATTAAAAAATGAATGAAATCGTGTATGCGCTAGGGTATCCGAATCTTTAATGGCAAAAGTATTTCACGATTGAATTGCGCATTAGAAGATTTTTAATCAATTATAAAAAGATTTTTAAGAAGTTTTGACTGCAAAATCTTAGAATTGGCATTTAAAGAGACTTAAGTGACATTACTCTAACCTCTCTGGATCTAAAATCTTCAACAAACATCAGTTTGTCAAATAAAAATAAACAATAAAAGGTCAACATTAGAAATTCCATGATCATCCAGAGAATACAAAAAACAAGGAATCTATCACTTCTACTAAACAGGATTTTCCCTGAATAATTCGCGCATTAAGAAGACCTAATCAGATATAAACATCTATTTCTTATATGAATGCGAACCTGGTTGTTTTTGTTTGTTGTAAATTGCGTGCCTTTCGTAGCCTTAATGATGAAAAATTATCCGCAACACCGTCTTTGATGTTAAGTATCAAAATTAATATATACATCATTTTTGATATCCAATAGAAGGGTTTCATGCTTGGCTTTTCGTATGTTGAAATAAACTATTTTATTAACCTTATCAAAATTTTTTATTGAAGTTTTAATAGCTCTTTTGTCAGTGCTACTTGTGAACCAGCCGTTCTGTCTATTAATTCTTTTTTTTTCACTTCTTGATAAATAAAATTCATAAAAAAGAACTGTTGTTTACTATTCAAGATCAAATATCCAACTGGATTCCGAAAATTGACTCATTAAGCTTTTTGTTTAAAGGAATATTCTATCAGTTCTCTCTTTCTCTATCTTTAGCTCTTTTCGATATGATTATCTCTATGTTAAGCGTCTTGTGTTATTCATCTTTGAGATGTCTCCAAAAAGACGATAAATTTTTATGATGACAAAAAGATTTGTGTAGAAATCACAAGTCTTTATCTACAAATAATTTACTACAATTAACATAGATAGATTACTAATGTCTTTTAAATGTATTCATCTTAGCAAAGCGGATGTCTAACCAGGACCATTTGCCATTATCTTATGTTATTTGTAGTAACATTTCACTGCATTAATTTACGATTATTAAGTCATTTCAATTAAAATAAAATTTATATGAATTCGCAACGTACGTATGAGGCGGTATAAATCGAAATTTATAACCTGCATTATGACATAAATGTCGATTAATGCAAATCATTGACGAAAATGACTTTTAACTCGTACCTAAGTAAAATTTTAATTAAAGTTTTACAAATTAATTGACACCTTTACAATATTAAGTCATTTTCAAATCAGCAACAAAGTTTTCTCAATGAAATAAGTAAGAAATCTGTTTGTAAGTGGATTGAAGAGGCGTATTTTAATGACTTGATCTATTAACTCTAAGCATTCAGTTTAAATTATGAGAAAATTGCGATTTATCTGCGATTTTCAAAACAAAATTAAATTTTCAAAAAGATTAGTAGTAAACTCTTTAATTTTCCAGATTTAAAGCTTAGCTCTGCTTGAGTAGCTGTTTATTATGTCTAATAATTAAATTAAAGTTGAATAAAGTGATGTTAACACTTTGGTTTCTCAATTTCAACTGAATTTTGAAAATAATAACAATGAAAGAAAGCCAACTATGTAGAATTCATAAAATTCAAATAAAATTTGATCGTTAATCTATTGGTAACATTTATACCTCAAAATGACAACAAAATAATCAAAATTACAAGCTAAAACTATTAATTGCCAAAAAAGAGTTTCGCGCGCACCAAAAATTGATCGATTGATTAGACATAATAAAAAGAAATTTTTGCAAAATCATTCATTAAATGTATATTGTTACACTTATGTTAACCTTCATGGATTTTTTTTTTTTTTTGGTAGATAAATCAGTTACATGGCGAAATTTTTGATGAAAATTAATCTTTTTAATGACTTACGATGATATGGTTGTGTCCTCTACGATACATGTAAAAAAAGAGATTATTAACTGAAGCAGCACGTGTATGCCTCGTTTAAATAAAGATTTAAGTTAGATGTTAAGGAGAAATTAAAAAGTTCGAGAGGTGTATCTTTTCATGCCTCCTTATTCCATACGTCAGAAGGTTCCGGTGTATCAAAATGTCTCTTAAGCCTCACGAAAAAAAACGGTCACTTCCCAAGAAAATAAAATTAAATAATTGAGCAACAAAAGTTCATGACATTAATTATTAATTGACTCCCTTGCTGCACTTCACCTAATAATGCTTAATTTGAGTTTGTTTGCCGAAAGCATCTTACATAATTATTAACATCTTGATGTCTATGTTTAGGCATTTATGTAGGAATATAAAATTGAAATAGTTATTGAACATTTGGAGGAGATGTAAATTTTTTCAGTATCAGCTGTCAATTTAATTTATGTGCAAAGTCATCATAATCACTTCTCATCACATACTAAATGGATGAGTGTGTCTGAAAATTAATTTATGGCATATCTGTCAAAATAAAATCAAGAAGAATAGCTTTATAATGTGCACCTCGATGGTGTCGTTAATGTTGATGTTTTACGATAAAAATCACCTGAAATCTGTAATTTCTTTATTCTCTTTTGTCGCCACTTCCTATGAAGACGATTGTGGGTAATAAAAATTTTTCTTTTATTTTTCGCAAAAAAAAAGACTGTTCATGAGTAATGACTTCTTTATTATTACCATCATTAAAAAATCTGATGTAAACAACCATTCAAAAATACACAAAAAAGTGAAAATGGAAACATTGATATAAAAATTGTATAACTTATTTAGCTACAGTTTATAATAAGGCAAACGTGCGTTTAAACCAAATTTTGTCAAGAAAATTTAATGCTCTACTTGAGTGACTCAGCATCACTAATAGTATCTTGATTAAGTACTTTTGGTGTTGATGTTGCAATTTGACTACCCGATTCAGTTGTCGAGGGCGATAAAGCTAGGTCACTTTTTGTATATTTTTCTTCTTCGCCACTTGATATTTTTTCAAAGTCAATAAAGTCTCTGTCTGTTGAATAAGTCACACTACTTGAGGCAGCAGCAGTCAATGGAACTCTTTTGAATGCTTCTTCAACTTGTTCTAGACTGTCATTTATAGATAATAATCGTTGCTCAATTTCAGAGTTTAGCTTCTCACTTGTAGTCGGTGTGCTGCTATATGTAACAATTTCTGATGATATTGGACCACTTGAACATTGCTCATATTCCGTACATTCCGTAATTGTCGATAAATTATGATCATGATCAGTATCAAAATCATTTGGCATCGTCTCACTGAGAGAAATTTCTAAATTCGGAAATGAAATGTTTTCAATCATTTGAATGTTGTCTTCTTCCTGATCCATATCAGTAATTTGAATGACATGCGAAGTTGAAAGAGTGTCAGGCACCATTGATGATTCTTCAAACACTTCTGAAAATTCATTCGATTCAATTGGTTCCGTGTTTAACATCTGAGATTCTTCCTCAATCATTTCGATCTCTTCCACTTCGGACATTGAAATTTTCTCGGTAATAATTTTGTCATCACGACTTTGACTCTCATTATTTGTCATGTTTTGAACTTGAAAGGTCTTATCATTAACAGCAGTAATAAGTGATGGTGCAATTAATGGCATAATGTCATCTCTTGTTTGCTCTGTGTCTCGCTTATGGTCAACAAAAACTTTCATTTGATTCGCCATGAGCTCTTGTAACTCATTATCATTTTCTGATTGTGTTGCTGTTTGCTCATTTGTATAACTGTTGGGATATTCTTCTTCTGTTTCAATATTTGCAATTGAATTCATCGTATCAGAGCGACTGAAAGCTTTTATCTCTTCCTCATCAATGTTTTCCGATTTCTTTTCGGGTTTTGGTGAAATTACAGATGTATCGAGTAATATTTTCAAGTCACTTTCAAGAACCGCCTCTTTTGCATCTTCGTAAAACTTTGCAATTTCTTGCTTCGTTAACTGATAAATTTCTTTAGTCAGGAATTTTTCCTCATTCAAACCAGTTAATCGATACCATAACTTATTCATCTTACTGCCAATTACATCAACTTTCTCATCTTCTTTTGCAATAACATCACTGTCGAGTATTTTGAGACTTTTATCAATGGATTTAACCATTTCAAATGAGGTGTTTAAAACATCATGAGATGACTTCCTTCTTGGACTCTTCACAGACTTGCCTTTATTTGCATTCAATAATTCTCGTTCCAACAATTTAAGCTTTTTCTCTTCATCATCTAGTCGACGTTGCCAGTTAACAAGATGTTCTATTTTCTTACGACGTTGTATAATCTTCTGTTCACGTTGTTGTAAGATTCTGTGTAGGAAGAGATGATGAAAAATGTTTAGCATTGAACTCAATGTTCAGTTAAATATTTACCTTTCAATACATTCTTTAACATCAGTCTCATTACCAGTAACATCCATTGATGTTTCCAGCTGTGCAACTGCCTGATCAATTAAATTATCATATTTGGATTGTACTAAAGATTTTTCTGAATTCTCTTCACGCATTTTTATTCGTTCCTTTTCTAATCTTAGTAAAATTGCACGCTGTTGCTTCTTGATTGTCGATACCTTTTCAACATTTCCGTGCTTCTTGAAATTCCGCTTCTGTAACTCGAGCCAAGCAATTTGACCACGTGTACGTTCAATTAATGAATGTTCCCATGACTTTATCTCTGATGTTGACTTAATAAAAAGCTATAAGTTTGATAGGAATAAATTAATTAGCGACTCACATTATGAACATGAAAATTAGCACCGTACTGAGAAGTGAGATTATAACGATAAAAGTACTTACATTATTTGCATCAGGCTGATCTGTTACGCTTTCGATAAATGATACTTCAGACTCATTCAGCCTAAACATACTTATAAGTTTACTTTCATTAAATGTATTTTCAAATTGATTTTTCCTTGAGTCGCTTGTTGATTCTTGATAATTGTTATTTGTTTTCGTTATTGTGGTTGTAATTTTTGTTGTGCTGCTTGTTAATTCCTGAGGTTGTTCTGAATGATACACAATTGGTGGGTCTTCAATTATTTCCGACTCAACAATTAGAGTACGAATGGAGCTATTTTGATCACTATTATCTTCAATTATATTTGCCTTCTGATGTTCCTTTGTATCTGCCTGTATCATATTTTCTATCATTTCGCTAATTTTTGACGATCTTTCACTCGATTCAATGTTTTTCTCAAACGAACTCGAGTATTTATCATGATCGGAATCTCTCTTTGAGCTCTCGGTCGAATCTGCAAAACTTTTTTGTTGTGCTGATGATCGTATTGATGAAGAGGCATGCGATGATGATGATTTGCTTATAAGAGCATTTGAAAGCAAGTGATTCACCTCAACAACATGTGATAAGTTTTTATTAAATGCCAATAACATCTTCTTAAACTCTTCCTCTTTTTCTTCATTTATTTTATTATTATTGTCTAGATCATTTAGCTCAACATTTGATGGAACTTCGGGTTTTTTGAAACTTATTTCCTCATTTTTGGAATCTTGATTATTTTTGAGTGTTGATGACAAAAAATTATTCTGTTTCTCGCTCGTGTTTGGTGAGATATTTTCAGGACCGAGAGACTTTAGCTTCTTATCAAACGATGCTCGATCAAATTCACTGTTTATGCTCTCTCGTTTCTTTCCCACAAAGTGATCATCACTGATTGTATGGAAAATTGATTCACTAATTATCGTTTCATCATCATTTGTACTGAACTTAACAATCGATTGTTTTTCAACACTTTGAGACTTTTCAGGCACAATATCAGACTTAATTGAGCTTATCTCTGATATTGTATTTGCCTCCGATGGCAATTCAATTCCTTCAGACTTGGTATTTGAGTCTGAATCGTTATCATCTTCAAGTATTATGCCATGATGAAGCCTTCGAGCTTTCGACGTTTTCTTATTTTTCTTAATTTGTGGTGTTTCTAAATTAAAATGCGTGTATTGCTCATTCTTAGTGCTGTCATTTTTGTGTTGTGTTGTAAATGCCTCTAATTTTTTACGCACGGCCCATATAAAATTATATGGATACGGTTGAACGACTGAATTTTGCAGCCAGATAGGAATGTTGTTTGAGAGAGGCTTGACAAATGTTTGATTATGAACTGTTGAGATGTCTGATCTATTTAGTATTTGCTTTGTTGATGTATTAACCATGCTGAGCTTAACATCCGGAACTATTAAACGTAATTCGTCGTTGTTATCTGATTTTTTGTTTTCCTTTTCTGACGAAGGTCTTGTTGATGGCTGGGATGATTGACGTTTTACTTCTAAACGAATTGGTGAGTTTTGTTGATTTGGAGATAATTTCATCGGACTAACGCTTGCTTGAGATTTAGGTAGCGGCTGTTTACATGGTGAGTCAGGTATATTTACTGTACTTTCAACTGGAATTTCTGTTTCATCCTCAGGTTTCATATCATCGTTAGCTGACATTGGCTTTAATCGTAGTACTTTTATTTCCTTCATCTTATTGTTACTCAATGAATAATACGATGAATTAAAATCTAAAGGTGGAGATGGACTTAATGGGCTTTTTTTGTTCTCATGCTTTTTCGCTAATGCATCTTTTGTATGTTGTCGTAGTTCCTCAAGGCGTTGTTTAATGACAAATGATTTGTCGATTTCCTTCTTCACTTCCATCTTTCTCTTTTCACGTTGCTTCTTCATAAATTTTCTTGCCTCACTTCGCACTCCTTCATCCATTTTTGATTTATTTACAACTGGCGATTGCACTGGTGCTTGCTTCTGTAGCTGCAAATTCAAGGTCTTTATTTCAATAACTGCTTTTGGTTTATTTACACGTTCAAGTTCAATGTCTTGCTTCTTCATCAATTGATCAGCATCATCGATTTTATTTTGATCATTCGTAAATAAATTCGCTAGCGGCTGTACTGGCAATACTGTTGCTTTTGACTCTTTCTGCTGATTGTTTTTAATCGGAACTTTTGCTTTCGACTGAACGGGTTTCGGCTTTAAAACTAGTTTTGCTACTTTGAATTGATTTACTGGCGATTCCTTTATGAAATGTGCTGATTCTTTTACAAATAATCGAAAGGGAAAATTCTAGATTAAAGCACAGACTAGGGCGTTCGCTTAATTGCTACTCACCTTTATATAGTGGCTGCGGTCTAGTTATTTGAACTGTAAAATAATAGAACATTAAAAATAATTAAATTAATCAAATTTGAATGACAATATTAACCTGCAGTAAAGTATTTAGGTGTTTCAGGCGAATTTAAATCAGTTGTATCCATTACCGGCTTCCGTCAGTGTCGCTTTTTATTGTCATTTAATTTTAGATCTGAAAAAAAGAAAGACGAATAAAAAACAGGGAATTAATACAATGATTTATTACTGTAATTAAGGTCATTTATCGTTACCGAAAAAAAAAAATTAAATCGAAATGTTTTGGGAATTAAAATTTGAGTTCCTTTTTGCTTCTTTTCTCATTAAAGTTAATTAAAAACGATGAGAAATGTCAGTAGAAAAGAAATAAAAACATGCAGCACGATTTATGCCTAAAAAATTACATGAAAATGAGAGACAAAGTTCTCGTGATGGAATCTCGAGAAAAAGTTGCAATTGCAGGTTGCATTATTACATTCATTACGGCAATCAAATCGACCTGAGAAAATTTGATTGATCATGCAGCATTTCAATAAAGAGAAACAACGATATCTGTAATGACTCGATAAAGGCTTGCATGAATTTTTTTCTCGGAATTGAATAAGAGTCTTGCACTTTTTTTCTTGAGATTACTTGTGGATCATTCATGAGTGACATCCATAGAAATATTAAGTTTTGTGTACTCTTTACTTGTAGAACCACGCCATTGTAGCTTGTTTTAGAATGGCAACAAGCTAGAATCACAAAATTGCAACTGACACCCCCTCCCCCATATGTGATACGTAATAAATGAACGACGTCTTATTGGTCTTGCCAATTTTGATTTTCAGAGCATTTTTTCACAATCTTTGCATTCACATTTTTTTCTCAGTGCAATGTGTTTTGTGAGCTTTTTGGTATGAAATGTAATATTGATCACGTTTTACTTGCTTATTTGTCTATTGATAGTTCTAGTCTCACAGTAAAAGCTCGTGATTTACAGAGAATATTGAGTCTGCATTTATTATGTTATCCAATTCGGATTATATAATAATTTTTTTTATTTAAGTGATGTCCAATGAACAAAGGGCTATAGCTTCAATAGAGTTACTGAGTGTGATATTTGATATAACCATAGGGACGAATTACATTACTTAATAATTTGGGAGTACTCCGCCTTTAAGTTTACAGTCAGACACCTTAGACATGTTGTATTTATTTTGTAAAAGACAATAGCTTACAATCCCTTTCAAGTTTACTTTTTCCATTCATAGCTTAAAAGTTTATATAGATCATTTCATCAAAAGTCTAAAACACAAAGCCGTACCTTTAAAATTAAGATATATAAGCATATTCTTCATCTTAATCGTGTCTATAATTGTTCTTTTTTTCTCTCAGTAATAGTAATAAAGTCAGCACATAATTCAAATTTTAGTCACATTTTGCTACTGCCACTGTTTATTGCGAAGATTGCGAAATTTTTTTTCTCTCAAATCTAAGAGTTAAGTGTAATAATGCAGCTGCTTGCGGTTGATATAACTCAATATTTTTACTTGCTTTATTCATAAATGGTTATAGCTCGTCTAATAAATCTCGAACATTTTTTCGCATGACGCTGGATTATAAATTTTTGTGTCAGCCATTCATAAAAGGAAGTATTAGGGAAGATTTTGGATGTTGAAATGTCTTGTTAAGATTTAGCTTTGGATTCATGTCACATTATCATATCATGAATGGAAAGAAATATCAGCAATATCTAAATGATTATTGTGTCAATTCATCAAATTCATATTGACGCATGACATAACGGCATATCAATCTATCTGCGTGCATGTAAGCTTCTCAAATGTCATTTTAATCTCATTGTCACATAATTATTCATTTCTTTTGAGCAAAAAAATAAATAAATTCATATCAAAATGAACATGCATTTATTTTTAAAATTGCATAACATTTTTTTCACTTGCACGATAAGATAGTAAGCAACGATAATTTTACCGACATCATACATTACAGAGAAGAAATAATTGCAATGTGAAGAAAAACGATATAGCAGTGCAAGTCACCAACCTGTATGTTAAAGGTAGAGCAAAAACGTAATCGACTTTATTGACCCAATTTTTATTTTATCAACAAGTCAAGAGAGACATTCAAATGGATAATAATTATCATAACTCGCTCACGATTTGAGATCATTAAGTTAAAAGTTGTGGCAAAAAGGTAAAAAAAATAAAACAGTTCATAATCACTTCTTGAATATCATGCGAATATTACAGGAGAAATGGATCGATATGTATATTTTTTTGTCAGTTTAAGGTTGACTCACGCGATATCAGCTTGATGGGTGCATTACTTTTGTTTTTGAGGCATTTCGCATGTCATTTTTTAAGAAGGAGAAAAAGAAAATGTTTTAATCAGCATGGCTTATGGCATATTTCTGAAGGGTCGATTATGAATGATGTCCAGCTATCTTGAGAGCTTAAGATTTTGTGAGGGAGTGAAGGGAGTGTAGAAATAGCATATCCATATTGACAACATTTATGAATACTTCCTTAGAATACTTTAAGAATACCAGTAAAGTGTACCTTCGTAAGGAGGGTGACATAGTTGACTCTAATGGAACACTCATGAGATGGAGAGAAGGTGAAGATAAAGCTTCAATCTCTAGAAACTACAATTCAATAACTCTTTAATTGATTCACTACATTTGCACAGAATTTTTAATTATATACTTTTATTCCTCGCAATAACAAACACTCTTTATATCATCTACCAAGTAGACAATATAACAAAGACCAACTTTTAATGCTTCAATAGTTAAACACGTGCTTCATCAATTGAACATTGGAAGTAGTTTTCCAGACGATAATAATCTACAGTTTCTTCTTACTCTTTAATTTCTGCATAAATATTGCTAAACTTAAATGCATTGAATATAATCGATTGATGTAAATGTAAATATGGAAACATAATGTATTCCTCGCGGAAATTAATTTGTTGGGGTGTGTTCGTGCCTACACAAATTCATTGGTTTATAAACATCTCATGTTAATTGATTCATAAAGGAGACGAGACATAAGAACTCAATTGAATTGAGGGGAATTTTAATTAACTTAATATTAAAATGTAAAGCTCTTGTCAATATCTTTTTCAACACCATACTATTATCATGCTAATTTATTGAATTAAATTACAAATTTCTCTTAATATCGAAAAAATTAGTTATCATATTTCACATTCATAAATGAGCAAACAACCGTCAAGTCACAACATCTTTTGTATATTATTATAAGCTGTCAAATATCGCGTTCACTCGTGCCTTTTGTTATCAGACACTTCAACATCTGTACAATCGATCTGTGATAAGGTTATGCAATAAATTGAGATTCATGTCACCTTTTTTTTACGTTTAACTTCCAGTTGTGAGCTTGGCATGTGACCATATCGTTTGCTTTGGGGTTAACAGATCAAGCGATTAACTAATGCTAATATTGGAGATATATTATTATTTTTTTGGTATTGGGAATATGAGTTTTGGAGGAATAGTTGCGAGTGAATGGAGCGCATTAAAGAATTGTCTGGTCTTTTCTATTTGTGGTGTTCATGAGAACGTAACTCAAATGTGAAATCAATTAATTTAATTAAAATTTCATCAAACCATGGAAGATCAAATAGAGCTTTTATCACCAACCAGCAAGACAAACTTAACCTCAAAATAATATTTGCAAAAAAAGCCTCCGCATAAAAATTTTTCACACTGGTATCGAATGGTATAAAAAGCTTTAAAACTGTAGAAATCAATTTAAAAGAATGTTTTGTGAAGAAGTTTATATATTTTCTCATAGCTATAACAATAGCAATAATATGCTTATTATGTGGTTTTTCGATAAATCTGCGGTAAAAACTTTATATTTTGAAATTCAATCATTTTTTTGCAATCGCATTTGGCGTGTGTGTATGTATCTATACCTCTTTTTTCGGATTTTTTTCGTATTGAAACTGATTTTTTTCTTCTTTTCTAAATTCGCACGCGTTCAAAATAAGGCAGTATTCCATCATATGTATAATATGATAGCGATTTAATGGATATTAATGTCGTTGAATTAGCTAAGCCAATAAGTGAGCAAACAAGCAGCTTGCATTCACCAATTGTGGCAAATATAGAGAAACATACATATTGTATCTTCACATAGTATATTATGTCGCATGTATGATTATTATGGAAAGTTGCTCTTGCAAATTCAAACCAAGTCGGGTCAGATTTTCATTCATTTTATTACATTTTAAGTGGTCTATATTTTGAGGAGGAAGTGACATTTAAGGAGCATTTTGTCTTGACTGGATATAACTTAAACTTCAAATAGAATTTTATTCTTAAAGATTTAGAATGAAAATTGAAAAATGCGCCTTGAACCTCTCTCGCCTGTGACTTTCTTACTTGCTTCTTCAGTGATATATTTCTTATTTTTCTTCGTTTAATTTGCAATTATTTTTGAATTTTATTTCATGAATTTTTTTATTTCATACACAGCATGACAAACATCACAAATAAGTCTATTGAGGTATAATTTATTTTGATAAAAATTGGTTATGCGACCTGCCCAATAATCTGCTGATATTGATCAATCGAACGAATAAAGATTTTTTTTTCTCAGCTGATAATCTAAAAAATTATTAAAACATTTATGGAAATTTTTATTTCACTTTTTTTGAATTTTTCTTTCTTCTTAAATTTTTTTCCAACTCATAAATTTTTTGTGAACATTTTTGGCGGATAAAAGTACAATATTTCATCTTTATGACACTATTCGACCTAAAATCATAACAAGATTATAACACAAAAAAAAATTATTAACCATCTGATGTCACCGATTCTGTTTCAAATGAACTTTCAAATTTATTCATCAATGAATTGTGTCATAAATTCATTTAATAATACATATAAAATGTTGTGAGGTGTGTGAAAGAGATGAGAGAAAAATTAAGAAAGGTAAGAAATCTTTACTCTTCTGTGGCTGTTGTTGCATTTTGTGCCTTCCGTGCGAAAGTCTATTTTTTTCAAATTTAATTTTCCAAATTTTAATATTTTCATTTTTTTATTAAGGTACGAAGAAGGTATCCTGGTAAATCCAATTCTCAATTCTAAGATAGAACATGATAGCTTAAGAATCCACAACAAGATTATCACTGTAAAAG